CCCCAAAACCCCAAAACCCCAAAACCCCAAATTTTATAATAAAATTTCCAGAAAGAAGAATGGAGGAAAACCTAAAGCCCAAAATTCTGGCTGATATGGACAATGACTGCCAAAAGGAATCAGAACCAAAGAGTTCGAAACAGCGGTCTAAAGAATACAGAGAGCGAAAGAAAGGCTATCTTAAACAACTTGAAACAAGAATCGAGCGATTAGAATGTGAGATCATTGACTTAAGATCACAAAATGAAAGACTTATCAAAGAGGTACAGCAATTAGGGTGATAAATAATAGGTGGAAATGAGCAAAGAAGAGAAATAAAGAAATGAATTTAGAGGAAAAACTCAAATTTCATGAAGATTACCTTCATAACTCAGTTCTGAAGGTAAGGAGGTTAACATAGTGTAGGAACTGAGACATCATCCTGAAAATATAAGATTCACAATGATCTCCCAACATACCATCTCTGTCTCTGAATATAGGTAATTTTTGTGATAATCTTCAGTGATCTAAGGATCAACTTTATCAAAGAACTATTTAGAAGTAAGAGAAAGCATCAAACTTTAGAAATCTTAGAAAATATGAACTCTCTTAGTGTTAAAGCCTCCTACGCATGCATGAAAAATCTCTCTAAAAGAGAAGTTAATGCTACTGTAAGTGGTAAACGTCGGTATAAATTTATCAACAAATAAAGTAAAGCATGCAAAAGGTAACTTCATCTTCAACAATAGACTACCTCTTTGATTACAAGTTTTCCGATGATGCTGTAAAGTATTTCTGAAAGGAAGATCACCCAGTCAAAATTATATGCAGAAAGGTCAAAAAGCTGTAAGAATCAGGGAAGATTTAAACATTTTCTAGAAATCAGCAGTTAATCAAACTCAGGAATAAAATCATCAACACTTTTTACATGCTGAGGTCTTGCCAGGAGGAGGGACAGTCCATGCTGAATTACACTAAAGAGGATATAGCCAAATTCGGCTTGCTTGTTCAGAAGCTGAAATCGACAAAGTTCCTAAGCCCACATTATCTCTGGGACATTCCCAAGAAAGACCATGAGAAAGAGTGCTATGATAGTGGAGAGTTGACTGAATAATTCACAAATTTATCTTAATTTGTGTCTAAAAATATTGATAACCATAATGTTTGGGAGATACCGTATAATACCAAGACTAATGAAGCTGACTTCTACGAAGGAGCTGAGCTGACTGATACGAATACTTAATTGAATAATAAAAATTCAACCATTCAGCGATATTCTGGGGTTTTGGGGTTTTGGGGTTTTGGGGTTTTGGGG